AACTTTTTGAGCCTGCGAGCGTGTTTGGAATTCTGGCACAGCATGGTGGGCAGAGGCACAAAATGGCTGCTGCAGGAGGAGGAACCAGCTACAAAGTTGTTGCCCCAGCCGACCTTCGGTCAGACAGTGAAGATCCTTGTGCTGGGGTGAAAGCTGCTGCAAAGCACTGTTTAAAAAAAAACTGCACGGATAATCAAATCTCCAGCAGCCAATCATAAGCCTTACCGGGGAAAACCCCACCTGGCCATGCCTACTTACTAAAAACACTTGGTGGGCACCAGAAAACGTGTTGGTAGGTGCCATGGTGCCCATGGGGGGACCCCTGCACTTCATTCTTAACTTTGTGTTGCTCTTACATAGCATAAATGGCTGTAGATTTCTTCTTCTTACCAAGTGTCTCCAGGAAATATTTCCCTCAGTACAACAACCAATTGGATTGTCAACCAGCTTGACAAAAAAATGTCCTGTTCCTCTAGAAAAGGCTTAATGTGGGGAAGTGGGCAGTTGAACCTGTCTGTGGCATGGAGGTAAATAACATATGGTAAAAAACATCCTAAAGAGCCTCTGTTAAAGGGACAGGACATTTTCACTAGGCCTCTTGGCAGCTGTAACAATCCATGGAACACTTTGGCTGCTACATTATGCTAGTATTACTACAAGCATCACTAACATTAAAATACTGTGGCATCCTAAGAGGCCATTCAAATGTGGTGTTTGTCACATAAGATGGGTGTCAAACAATCAGTTCCCCATGTGCTTTCTGAGATGGTTCAGCCTGGGAAAGGACTCTACCATCTCAGAGACATTATGTCTGAAGACTTTGATTTTGTTTTGTTTATATCATACACCTTGGTCGCTGGCACCAGTAGAATGGGCCACCAGTTATGGCCCAGTGTTTGATTTTAGTGGATCGTGGTTAGAAACAGAGTTGGGACACTCAAGACTCTGAAAAGAGCAGTGGTGCTGCAACAGAAAGAAAAGTCAGGTGTTTTATGTGCATCTTCATGCTAGTACTGCTTGCACAAAAATAATGTAACACATGACATGTGTTAAAGAGGATGGAAGCTAGACCTTGTATGTCAGCGCTCTTGCTGTTGTTCTAAGATCAGTGCATGGATTTTGTGCTGAAGGCAGCAGCTTTCAATAGCAACAGGAAGCTGAAAAATCTCTGCCTCTCCTTCACAAAGTTGTTGTATCAGAAGAAACTAATGACACAGCATCTGGTACAGTTGCTCCCTTGCTTATTTCTACCACTCCCCCCAGGAGGAAACTGGCTTAACTTCAGCATAACTCAAAGCAGGCTTGCTGTTCTTTTTTCCTTGCAGGGATGCTGTGCCTTTAGCCAATGAAGTTCAACAGGGACACTTTCTCCCAGTGTAACACCTAGATTCATGTCCTACTGCAACTCAGAGACCAACAAGATTTTTAGGGCTTTTGAGAGTCAAAGCTCCCTTCTTCAGCTTCATCACTGGGAAACTATCTCCCAGTATAGAAACACAGTTGTTGGGAATGATTCACGTGCTGGACCTTTGCCCATTATACAGATTTTAGACACAGAGGGTACAAAAATTCTACTAAGAAGAAATTGCTAGAGAGATAATCAGAACCACAAGACAGAACCATGCTTCCTTATTTACATGCTACATTTGCATCCTATGTTCATTTTAAGAACCCAGAACAACATTGTAGCTTCCAAAGGTTTCTGCAAGGTCCGTTGAAAGCTCTAGGCTGTTTGATACCTGAGAACAACATTTGAACCTAGGTTTCTCACATCCCCCACCCACAGCACAATAGCACTCAATGAAATTGCTGAGCAGTCGGGTTAGAACGGATAAAAGGAAGTACTTCCTCACCCAAAGAGTGATTAACACATGGAATTCACTGCCACAGGAGGTGGTGGCGGCTACAAGCATGGACAGCTTCAAAAGGGAATTAGATAAGCATATGGAGCAGAGGTCCATCAGTGGCTATTAGCCACAAGGTATAGATAGGGGCTCTGGGGCAAGTGATGCTCTGTCTTCTTGGTGCTTGGGGGGGGGGGCAACAGGGGGAGGGCTTCTAATGTCCTGGCCCCACTGGTGGACCTCCTGATGGCACTGGTATTTCTGGCCACTGTGTGACACAGAGTGTTGGACTGGATGGGCCTTTGGCCTGATCCAACATTGGCGTCTCTTATGTTCTTATGTTCTAACATGCACACGCACACACAAGAAGACACCTGCTTTGTCAGACCTATGTTTTTAGTCCAGTTCCCCATCCTCAAAATGGCCAGCCAGAAACTTCTGGGAAACTGACAAGATGGATGTGAGGGCAATGGTCCTTTCCTGGTTTGTTACCAACAACCGATAATCAGAATGCCTCCAGTATGGAAGATCTTTAGCAATCACAGGTTGATAAACAATTACAGAGATTCATCCTACATGGATGTTGAAGTTCCATTTAAAGTCAAGTGAGGCAATGGAAATCACCAAACCTTGTGGCAGTGAATTCCATATGTTATATGTTGTGTTAAGATGTGATTTCTTTTTGTGTTATAATTTTATACAAATACACAGGCAGATGTGAATTTACAAAGCTGGTAGTGGAAAACTAAACAGCTTTCAAGATTATGTTCAATGTAGCAGAGATTCCTAACTCATTTGAGAAACAAAAGTAGTTTACGTAAATAGTATGTATCCTTTCCATGAGACTTCTTTGACTCTAGAATGGATTAAGGTGGGTGCCTGCAACCTCTGCCTGCAGAGCCAAATATGACTCTTTAAAAAAGAAAATGAAATCTTTAAGTTAAAGTACATTGGATGGGTAGATGGGATGCTAGAGTGACCATCATGTGATGGGAACAGCAGAAATGATTTCTTATAGTACTAAAGAACTGCTTGAGGTTCTTTACAGAAAGGAAAATTACAGAAAGGTGAACAGTTTCCAGTAATCCATGTGTGAACCTTGCACATTTATGCCAGTACACTAAATCAATCATGCTGGGTGCACCCATGTGCATGTATTAGTTTTTATGAGACCTTGAGTATGCCACTTCCTAATAAAGGGCTCACAGCTAGTGCTTGGGCTGCAGAAAGTTTTGAAATGGTTTTACTCTTTAATCATAAAAGGTTGCTTACCACTGATTTAAGGGAATATCTCAGTCAAGGTTGACCAAATTATGAGACAGGCTGAAAGTAGTTCTGGTAGCATATGGGGAGGGGAGCAAAATTTAGGAGTGGCAAGTTTTGAACAAAGTTTGACCCAATATGTTGCCCTCTGACCACAGTCTCACTGACTCTTGTGACAACAGAGAAAGAAAGCCCCAAGATTGCTCGGATGCAGGTTTACTAACACAATGGTTCTGGGACTGTACAAAACCAATCTTTCCAAAAATCCTGTGTGCAACATGCACACCTGGTATCATCTTGCAGTCATTCACCTCTATTAGAAGAGGCTTCTCATGGGCAGGGGAGATGGGCAACTATGCTTTATAACAAGCATAATAACAGATAAAACCAAGGTGAAATAAAATCACTTTTGAGCATGTATTTGCAAACTATATCATGGATGTTCATTCACACATGTGCTTCCACTACAACTGTTCCTTGTTCTTAATCATAGACTGTGTTCAGCTAAACATTTTGAAGAGAGAGAGAGAGAGAGAGAGAGAGAGAGAGAGAGGAACCTTGGGGGACAGAAAGAGAGAGAGGGAGGGGGAGGGAGAGAGAGAGAGGGAGGGAGAGCATGGTACTTAATCAGGTCTGTATATCCTCATAGTTAGGACATCTTTTATTATATTAGGTTCATGCTTTGTATTTGAGTAGTATTTATTGTTTAATCATTGTTAATTGGGGCATTCTAAATCAAATATTTTAAGATTATGAACCACACTTTGCTGAGATACTTGAATACATCAAACTATAATACACACTCTGGTTTCAAGGAAGCTTCACACAATTCCATGAGAAAAAGAAATATTAAAATAATTGCATGAGGGTTCCCTCTGCCTTGGATATGTAAAATGTCCCTTGTAGGACTTTAAAACAGTAACTGCAAAAATGTGATGGTATTAAAGGTTATCTAGATATTTAAAATACTTTAAACTACAATGATATGAACATACTCCTCAAAACTCATGGCCATGTTCAGTTGAACCCCAATAATTATGCAGCATATGTCTCAAATAATCACACATCTGTTCCAGTTGCCCTGGCTTCAGTCAATAAAAGCAGGCTCGTTTGCATCAACCATAGACCTGAACTTCAGTCCATGGGGACTGCCTCTCTCAAAATTACAAATGACAGATGAAACTTGAGATCATAATCTGAGTTTATTTTTCCCCTAGAGTCTTTAGCATGCTACATTAACCTGACAATGTTCAATCATGTGTTCATGTTCACAAGACAGTCTCATGCAATTCACAGCTTGTAATTGACTTTACACTGACATTATACATGTTTTCATCTAGCTGTGTGAAAAGAATAGTTTTTAAGGTGTCTCTAAAAAGTGTCCAAGCTCAAACAGCACATAAGCAGTTCACTCTTGTCAGTATCTTCTGTAGTTCTTGGTTTTAACACCAGGATGATTATTGAAATAAAGTCAACAAGGTCCCTGTTTAGTCCATTTGCCACAGAACTATTTGCTTTTTAAAATGTTCATATATCCTGAGGAGTCCTCTCTTTGAACACTGCATTCAAGTACAATATCTTTGAACATTCCCAGTTGTCTAAAAAAGGCAAGGCTTTTGCTCCAATTTAAATCTTCCACAGTTCTAGGTTCCTCACAACTATGCTTAAAATGATTTTTTTTCCTGTTTCTGTAATAAACATTCATTACTAAAGCCATGAAATAGTAGCTATTTGGCATTTTCCAGTGAAGTGCAAGAAATAAAATAAGTTAGGTCTTTATTGCTAAAGAATAGTAACAAGCAGAGTCACTTTTTATATAGTTACAAGGGCATGATTCCTTCCTCTTGATGCCCAGCAGTTCCACTGTGTCGCAAAATATGTCAGATAATCATTCTAGGAAGATGTGTTTAGTATTCTAGAGTCTGAGGAGTCAGATCTTTCATCATAGTCGTCTTCTGTATAAATAGGTTGTTTTGACACAATTGGACATCCGTCCTCAGGGATTGAGATCCTGGGATCTTCTGTTGGGCGTGTTGGAAGGACAGGAGAACTTCGGAAGACACTGGAAGAACTAGTTGAGAAAGGGCTGACATACTGAGACCTCAGCTGGTATTGCTGCTGCAGCGTCATAGTGTTCCACAACGTCACATCATTAGGTAGAAATGGACTGGACTGGTTTCTTGCCAAAGTATTCCTCAGCATCAGTGGATACCGGGGTGGCTGGGGGAATGGATGCTGTAAGGGAACAGCCAGTGGATTTGGCACAACACTACTAGTATCAGCAGAAAACCTCAGGGTATCTGGGACTCTAAAGGCAGACCCTACAGACCATTTTGAGGAAGAAATGGGGTAAGAACTCAGAGTGTGTTCAAAAAGGTGGCCGTTGGAAGGCAAAACCAGCCCTTCTGATTCAGCTGCAGTTCTGTCTCCGACAGCGACCGAAGACCGGCTAGACAGAAGGACCTCAACCGCACTTACCAGGTCACCCCCACAGCCTTTCAAGATTAATTCAAGCACAGTTGGTTTTTGGTTGGGGAAGATTTTTTTTAACACTTCGAGTGGGGGGCGGTTGGCTTTCAAGCCGAAAGGTAGAGAAACCATGCCCGAGGGACCTTCAATCAGGAGGTGATTTTGCTCTGGCTGGTACTTGGGGCTCTCCGGCCTGCTGTCGCTGCTTCCACTGTTTTTCTGGACTGCATAACCCCCTTCATCCACAGAAACAATCTCAGGGCTCTCGGGAGCGAAACTGCTCTTGGCCTTTGCCACATCTGGGGAACTCCTTTGGTCTGCATCTTTGTCACTGTAAGTCTCAGTGCTGTCGGCTCCACTGGTGTCACCCAACCGTTCATCGGCCATATCTGTAAAACAGAGTGCAGTGGAGTTAACCTTTGCAGTGGGCACAACTATATTTTATCTTACTTCATCTGTACACAATGAGGCCCCAAACTGGCTAACAATATTCTCCACTTCTTAATTTTATCCTCACAACAACCTTTTGAGGTAGGCTAGATTGAGAGTATGTGACTGTCATACTTGGTGCACAAGAATGCATGTCAAATTAAGAGCAACAAATACATACATTTCTCTTTTAATTTATACCATTTAATTTTCACAATATAGTTCCCCGAATACAACAGGCTTTAAAGGAAGGTTTATTCCACATTTTGGATAGTGTCAAGCAAGCTGTTCTTGCCACAGAGTCAGATCACAGGCTTACCTAGCCCACAACAATGGCAGCAGCTCTTCAGGTCTTGATCAGATCTTTTATTTTTAATGGAAATGCCAGGGACTGAACCTGGGACTTTTTAAAGGGCAAAGCATGTGCCTTGGTGCTGAGTTAGAGCCAGAACTTGTGCATTATCTGCACTTCAAAGTTTTAACACAGCAATATGTAAAGTGGCTGTCTGAGCTAGACCGGGGTGATCATAGGTATAGAAACTAAACTAAGGAGCTGTGTCTGGCATTCCCCATACCTATTGTTGCAGATTACTACTCTGTACCACAGCAGTATCTTTTTATGGGATCATGAAATACATCTAATTCTCAGATCTGTGGATATTTAAATTTGGACTGGAGCCACGAACAGACAGGATGGATATTTCTACAAACCATGCAGAAAAATCTGAAATATCAAAAAACAAGGGGTAGCCTCCCCCCATAATAGAAGCAGAGCCTGCAGCTTAGAGGAATGAATGCCTTCAGTTGCCATCGCTAGGCAGCCATACTGCTTTCAAGCCTTGTTTTCTGTCAGTAAAAGGGCAGAGCTCTTCCTGGGCTCTTTCAGCCTTTGAAGGAGGATTCATCTGGGCCAGGCCACAGCAACCACCCAGCAACTTGCTACCGTGTGACTTGCTTGACTCACCCAAACTCAGCTGTTTGCTACTGTCCAACAGCAGCTACCTCACAAAAGCCAGTGTGATACAGTGATCAGCATTTCAGACTAGGATTTGAGAGACGCAGGTTCAAATCATCACTTTACCATAGAAGCTCACTGGGTGACCTTTGGCCAGTTACATGTTCTCAGGAGTGTTCCCTCTAAGCTGAGTTAGTGTGAGCCAGCTCACAGTTTTCTGGCTTCTGGCTCACACATTTTTGTCTGAGCTCAGGAAGGATGGCTCCAGAGCAAACTAATTCATGCAGTAGCCAAATCACTTGCTCACAACTTTAATGCCAGTAGCTCACAAAGTTGAATTTTTGCTCAAAAGACTCCACAGCTTAGAGGGAGCATTGGTTCTCAGCCTAACTTACTTCACAGCATTATTGTGAGGATAAAACGGAAGAGAGAAGAATGTAAGCTGCTTTGGCTCCCCACTGTAGAGAACTGCAGAGTATAAATGAAATAATAAATATAGCTGAAGATGGGGGGACATATAAAAGGTAAATGGGCTGGTGGGTGGAAATAAAAGAAAGAAGCAGGGAAAGGCGAGGTTATGGCAGTTGCCAAGAAGAAGGAAAAAGGAAATAGAAAGGGGGAAAGGGGATATAGGGGTAAATGAAATGCCCCCTGCAAGTCTTTGTGGGTTCCCCACTGTGCAACTGGTCCTGGCCTGGTATCATATAGCTGGATCATGGTTTTTCTAGGTACAGCCTGCCAGGAGGAAGGAAATCTGAAGGCAGGGTGGGGGAGGGGGAGGAGGATAAGGAGAAGATGAGGAGGAAGAGATCAGATTTATACCCCACTACCCGAAGGAGTCTCAGAGTGGCTTACCCATCTCCTTTCCCTTCGCCTCCCCACAACAGACACCCTGGGAGGTAGGTGGGTCTGAGAGAGCTCTTTCGAGAACTGCTCGTGAGAGAACAGCTCTGAGAGAACTCATGACTGCCCCAAGGTCACACCAGCAGCTGCATGTGGAGGAGTGGGGAATCAAACCTGCTCCTCCCAGATTAGAGTCTGCATTCCTAACCACTACACCAAACTACACAACACAAAGTAAGAAAAGCTTTCAGGGGAGTGAAAGAGGAATTCATGGGGGATGGGCAGGGTTGTATTATGACTATCATGGGCCTCATTTCATATAAGAAACATTAACCTTAGCATATTTTCAGTGTGGGGTTTTTTGCATCACTTTGTGGTCCCCTCCCACCATAATAATATCAATATTAAAAATTGTTTTTGATATAACTTCAAATACTTTATTTTTTTTGTTTTAGGCAAAATTTAATAGATTTTGTGGACTCTAAAATATCATTCTTTTTTGATGTGTGAAAAAAATTAAAACATTTTATTTGACCCTAAAAGTTCATTTTTTCTTCTGATTTTAAAAGAAATTACACATTTTCATGGGCCCCTAAAAGTATCATGGGCCCCCCTAGGCACTGTGCCTACTGTGCCTAATGGATAAGTCAGCCTTGGGGACGGGAAAATTATATCCCCTCCACAGGTCCTTTAGGGTTCCCTGCTTGTCATCCTATAATTCTGAAATCATCCCTGATAAATGCACACACTTTGTAAAAAAAACCACACATAGACCAGCATGACTACACTCGCAGATCTGTGACGCCAGAAGACTTCCAGCAGATAGTTTCACTTTCCTCAGCTGTAAACCGACAATGACATTTTTTTCAGACTGAGCCATTTGCAGGATTAAATATTCTTTTATTGGCCATCAGTGAGATTTGAATGTTAGGCCACTTTGGAATCTAAAAATAAATCAGAGGCCAACTTGAGTCATATTGCTTGAAAAACCTACATGTTGTTGACTCAGGTTTCACACTGTCACGTACTCTGTCTTAAATGCTTAAAAATATCCTTGATTCTTTTCCTGCCCACTTTAATTTCAACTATGTGGTTATGGTTCTTAGCAAAAAAAAAAAAAAAGTACATATATAAAACAAGACCCCATTCTGAACTCTTTTATATGGTTGCTTTGCAAACTGATTAAAACATATATTTCCTTTGTAAAACCACCAATAACAGAGAGGAGAGAGGAGATGATAGATAGATAGATAGATAGATAGATAGATAGATAGATAGATAGATAGATAGATAGATAGATAGATAGATAGATAGATAGATAGATGGATGATAGGAATTTTGTCTCAGTTGTGCCTCGCAGACATTCTTTTATTAAGCAAGCAATGCCAGGCATATGCTGATGCATTTACAATAAGCTGTCAATAAAAAGGTAAAGGTTTCCCTTCTCGAAAGCCAGTCGAATCTGATTCTAGGGGGCAGTGCTCATCTCTGTTTCCAAGCCAAAGAGTCAATGCTGTCCAAAGACTTCTCCGTGGTCATGTGGCCAGCATGACAAAAACGCAGAGGCACACGGAATGCTGTTACCTTCCCACCAAAGTGGTACCTATTTATCTACTTGCAATTTCTTGCTTTCAAACTGCTAGGTTGACAGGAGCTGGGGCCAGAGACAGGAGCTTACTCTGTCATGTGGCACTAGGGTCTTGAACTGCCAACCTTCTGGTCTGCAAATCAGCATCTTAACCTCTAAGCCACTGCAGCCCCAAGCTGTCAATAGTATCTCTTAAATAACCAAGGTTAGATAGATGATAGATAGATAGATAGATAGATAGATAGATAGATAGATAGATAGAATAGATAGATAATAGATAGATAGATAGATAGATATAAAGGAACTTTGTCTCAGTTGTGACTCGCAGACATTCTTTTATTAAGCAAGCAATGCCAGGCATATGCTGATGTACTTACAATAAGCTGTCAATAAAAGGTAAAGGTTTCCCTTCTCGTAACCCAGTCGAATCTGAATCTAGGGGGCAGTGCTCATCTCTGTTTCCAAGCCAAAGAGTCAACGCTGTCCAAAGACTTCTCCGTGGTCATGTGGCCAGCATGACTAAAAGCAGAGGTGCACGGAACGCTGTTACCTTCCCACCAAAGTGGTACCTATTTATCTACTTGCAATGTCTTGCTTTCAAACTGCTAGGTTCGCAGGAGCTGGGGCCAGAGACAGGAGCTTACTCTGTCATGTGGCACTAGGGTCTTGAACTGCCAAGCTACTGACCTTCCGGTCTGCAAATCAGCATCTTAACCTCTAAGCCACTGCAGCCCCAAGCTGTCAATAGTATCTCTTAAATAACCAAGGAGTTACAGCACAGGAATACCATACAACTCAAAATATACTTGTTTATGGTCCAGATAGTCCATGCTATTGTAACATGAAAAATAATTTTGGTACATCGATATTGTATTATTGTTGGGTTACAAGCTGAAAACACTCAATATATCTGGGGTTAAATGTTTGTTTGTGTTGCTCACAGGAAGTCACATGTGTTTCATGTAACCAATGCTGTTTTAGGAGTACTAGTATACCTGTAAACCGCTCTGAGACCCCTTAGGGGTCAAGGGTGGTATATAAATCGAATTGTAAAGTAAAGTAAAAAAGTAAAAGGAATACAAGCCCGGGAATTTTCTCCCTGATCTAGGAGTTTGATTGGGACAAAAGTGTCAGTGTTTTAGCATTTTATGGCTCCTCTTCCCGTCTTTGTTTGCTGTTCTCAAGAAGAAGAAAGAAGAGCAGCCATTGCCCCTCTTCTAGTCTTGTCTTTTATAGCGTAAGGATGTAGCCGTTTAGCTCCATTGTTATTTTCATCCCAGTTACCCTTCCCTATGCTAGAATGTAGTAAAAACTTTCTATTTTAATCACACATGACTCTAAGTCTGAATTATTTTACTCTGGCACTGCTAAGCTATCTTATCTCTGCTAAGAACCCATTTTTTTCTTTTTTGAACCCAACAATTATTCATAAGCGGATAAAAGATACACTGTTTAAACTGATGTATATTTGTCATTCTGAAAACAGACTTAACTGAAATATCCATTCATATCTATGAGAATAAACTTTGAATTTCCCATAAGAAACATTAACTTTAGCATGTTTTCAGTGTGGTTTTAATAAAATGCATGCTGACAAAAATTGTTTGCAGCTTTTGAGGTTCTCAAAGATGGAGACCCAATTTTATCCTTGCCATTCAATGGGGGAGGTGGCTGGGGTTTCCCTTCTGATCAGCACATCATTCAGACTTGAAGTGAGGGCAGAACCCAAAGAAGACTTATAATTAGGTGACTATGTATCAGAAGCTGTTTTATTTAAATGAGGCAGCCATGAAAATTCATTAGAATAAAATTCATGAGGTTTATAGAACAAAAAGCCTTTGTTAATGCTTCTTTCTGGACATGGCTCTGCTAATGGATACTCATTTGGAGGCTGGGGGCAGCAGTACTTTTTATCAGCCAAACCTGACCTGCCCACCTTTATACGTGGTCTGGTGATATGTGGTGTAGGAGGCTGCCTTTGAAAGGTCTAGGAAAATTCAACTGGTCCCAGAATTGGACCTCCCACTTGCTGACTGGGATGAACCACTGTGGACACATCATGCCTGTTTCAATCCCAATTCCTTGGATTCCAGATTGTTTCCAGACTCAATTCAAAGCACTTTAAACTTGACAGCTCAAGATCAGATTACCTGAAGGACCACCTTCTCCAGCTTGAGTCAACTCCGACACTCAAAGTCATCTGGAGATGCTCTCTGTGCCACTACCATCAATGGTTTGGTAAGTAGTTATGATGGAGCTATCTTGATGATGGCACCAAGATTAAGGAATTCCTTGTCCCGTGAGGCTCATCTGGCACTCCTGACTTTTAGGAAGATGTTACTTTTGGGTCAGGTCTTTGAATAAGTTTAGCTGATGTGATAAAGATATTGCACTGGGTTGCTGCTGGGATTAAATTTTTGTGAAACATTATTGTCTGTGTTCTCCAGTTGTGGCATTTTCCATGTTTTTTTAAATTTCACTTGTAAACTGCATGTTTTATTTTAGGCCTTTGGTTTTATCATTATGTACCTTCAGGATAAGGTACTTTAGGGGTACTCTGTCAAGAATAATTTTAATATTTTATATTTTTAAAATATTTTAATAAAGTAATAGAACCACCCACTGTTTATTGTATACTAAACAACTGTTCATGTTACATAGAACGTTACCTCAGGCTGCATATTCAAGAAAAATATTTGTAAATGGAAGTAATAGATTTCTCAGAGAGAGTCTGTGGTGTTAAGCCCTAGTTATCCTTTATCTGTGGGGATTTTTTTCCAGTCTTAAGATAAAAATTGAGGAAGTCCTCAAAGACTGAATTAGGACGTGACAGTAATGGGAAAGTATTTGCTTTCGTATACAGCATTGCAATCTGTACAGTATACTGAAAGAATGCTGTGTTTGTTTTTGAATATCAGGTTATATTGCAAATGCTCCTTATGTAAGCATTATCCTAACTATAGTACATAGTTCTTCACTGAAAGGGGAGGATGGTCCAAGCCTAACCTTATTTAAAAAACACATTGATGAAAGTGTGTGGGGGATGAGGAGCTTTGCTTTATATTGAAGTTGTCTTGCATTCTGAATTCCACACACACTTTAAGCGAGCACTGCTTCCCTCTTCAGAAGAGTTCCATACTTCCTAAAACTGAGGAAATGAAAAATAAAAGCAACTGACATGATTGCCACGTTTCGTTCTGTGAAATTTATTGTATTCATTTAAAATACTTTTAAGCTGCCTTCCACCGAATTTAGGGTCCCCAAGGCAGGGAACAATAAAAACAAGATTAAAAATACATAACATATATTTCTAAAACAAAAACAATTAAAACTAAATGCTTGAACTGAAGGAAAGATCAGTGAGAATCAGTTTGGGAATGCCAGACAAAACAGAAAGTTTTTACCCGCTGGCGGAAGACTATGATAGAAGGGGAAAGGGGGAATCTCCTTGGGTAGGGAATTCCATAATTCTGGTGCCGCAATCAAGAAAGCCTTTGTCAAGTTTCAGATGGCAGAGGCACCTGAAGCAGGGCCTGCAAAAATGACAGTAGTGGTCGGGCACGTTCATACAGCTGTAGGTGGTCCTTACACTATGCAGGCTCCAAGAAGACTTTCCAGGACAATAACAGTAGGGCCTGGAAGAAGAGCAGGAGCCAGTGTAGGTGGAATAAGACAGGACTGAAATGTTTTGAACCCAGCTCCAAATCCATAAGCAGGTCCCCCAAAGCAGCATGGCATCTTTTGAAGTAAAATAAACCACTGGAGTTTTAGATTTGTTGGAGTTTCAAGTTGCTTACACTTCAGTCATTACAGAGTTAAGTGTTGTTTGTTAGGAAACAGGATGTTACGTTACATAATGTATTCTAGGGTGGGAAAGTTTGTGGGAGTTGTTTATTCTAATGAAGTGAAATGCTTTGATCTAGCATTAATGTATTCACAAGGTTTATGGCTCTTTGTGTGAACCAGAGAGGAAGCTCTCCTCTAGAAGCTAACACAGTTAGAAAGATGTAGCTGTTAGCATGGTAGTACTGAGAGTAACTGCAAGTATCTAACCTTTTATTTTATTTCTTTTATCCAAAGTACCTTACCCATGTTTTATTTTGTTTTGTAGTAAAGATATTTTTCTTTTACTAATGTGGCTCTCGTGTTTGCAAAACGATAATCGATCTTGAATCTCAGAATCCCAACAAGATTCCTGTAATAATATGTAGATCAAAACAAAACATGAGCCTCTGAAAGAGAAAACATACTGAGTTCAATTCTCAACTTCCAGTTTGGACTTGGTAGTTTACTGTTGTGTTTCTGTTTTCTGTTTTACCTGTCTCTGCTTCAAAACTTTATTCTTCAGTGATGTTTCTCTGACAAGATGCTGACAGTACAGGCCTAAGCTTGTTTTCTCAGAAATGCCCCACTGAGTACAATGAGGGTTACTTCCTAGTAAGTATACAGCGTTGCAACCTGAATCTATCAAGGGGCACTAAGGCCATTGGCTGAATAAAGACATGGATTCACCCTAACAACAGCAACCCACATTCATTTGCTTGATGCGGTCACAGACCACAGTTGATCGCAGGGGTGTCAAACATACGGGCCATGGGCCAGAACCGGCTCATCCTGGGCTGTCATCCAGCCTGCAGGCAACTGGTGCTGTTTTCAGCCCATGAGAAAAAAGGGGACACAGGAGGACAAAAAGCATCCCCTGAAGGTTTTGAAAACAGCCTCTCTGTCAAGCCTTCCCCTCAGCCCTGCTGCTTCTGTGGGAAGTGCAGGAGGGATGAGAACTGGGGTTAGGGTATCTTTTGTGGGGTCCCCATTAAATCAACTGCTTTCACTGCTAGGAATCAATTACTTTTCTTTGTATTTTGAGTAAAAAATAATATTGTTAATTGGGTTTGCCTGTTTTCTTTATAAAGTTTGCATCTCTAATACCTGGCATTACATTTTACAGTATACATGGCCTGGCCCAACAAACTGACATTTATGTCAGATCTGGCCCTCGTAATAAATGCATTTGACACCTCTAGTCTATCTGATAAACAGTCTGTAGCCTTTATTGCCACTCACAGTTCAAAGCACTATCAGCTGCCTGCTGGTGTCATTGCTTCTGAGTTCAGATTAGAAGGTCCACACACTCCCACAATGGAGCATTTACAAACTTGTGACCTTGCTAGATCCACAACCTGAATAAAGTTGCCAAGTGGCCCTGGGAGGGGGGAAGGATCCTGACTCTTTAACAGAGGTTTTTAATTTATTTATTTATTTATTTATTTTATAAATGTTGAAATGGACAACCAAAACTTGACATGGAACTAAGTAACATCACTTGATAATTGCTTCAAACTGATATTAAAGGGACAGCTAGAGAGGCCAGTTTAGAAGCTGTCAAATCTAGAACAGAATGGCTTGACAGACAGACCTACTCCTTCGTGTCTGATATCTTGAGAAACTGAAGACAGACAACCACCCAGCTCCTCTCTTTGAGAAGCAGCAGCCTAGCCCGAAGGAGTGCTCTCGGGCACCTGATTGATGAAGATCTACTCCCCCCCCCCTTTAAGTAGAAAGTGCTGACTAGCTGGCAGGGAAGAATTTCTCATCAATGCTCTTTGATTGTATTTTGCAAACAAAATGCCTGTTGCCTGGTAACATTTCACTTGAGCCTGACCTTCTCCAAAAGTTATTGCTATCAGATTCGATTTACACTGTCCTCCTGTGATTACTGTAATCTTTTAAACCAAGAAGTTCATATATCAGTGAGGGAAAAAAGTGTGCAAGTCAATAGTGCTTCTATTCATCAGATTTATATGCTTCCTGCTGCTAGAAGAAGGGGTTTTGTTTCTGGTTTAACAGAAGGGCGGCTGCTTTTCAGGCCATTTTCCTACTGAGGCAGTTTGAAATCTCTAGATGTCTCTGGACTTGGGCAGCAGCTGTCCCAAAGCAACCCAGAGGCCAATGCAGCCCGCCCTTGTGTGGGATACTTGCTTACTCATACACACACGTGCACGCACACAGAAAGAGAGGTGGCAACACTCAAGTGACAGTCCAGGGCTGTGTCTGGAGGTCACGGGAGGCAGCATCAAGCACCAGTGAGTGGAGACAATGCAGCAGAGCTAAGTAGCTTCCAGGATTCAAGTAAGGAGGGTAATTGGCAAGGAACTGAGAAACTGGCAGCAGAATCACTGAACAAGCAATGGGTGTGATCCTATTAAACACTCTTAAATCCTACTGATTTCATTAGGGAGAGAGAGTCAAACAAGCACTTAAATGTCTGCCACTGAAATTAAACTGTGCTGGATGCTGGCCAATGTGATTACGGTGTCAGTCCCAATGAAGTCAACTAAGAAAGAAAATTTGCAAAAGGCTCTCTTAAAGTATGCAGCAATAATTACTCATGAGAGCAATTATACATCCCCCTGGAGTAAGATGCTATATGTATAGTCCAATATGCAAACTACTTAAAGAATGGGGCTTTGATTTAAGCAGATGTTTGTAACATTACTTTGTACTAATTCTAATTCTTTGGGGATACAATTTTCAAGATGCTGTTCATCCTAAGCAAACTCTCTGGCAGCTGCTACCCCATAAATATTTTCCAGTTACACTTGGATCCAACACCTATTGTGCTGGAATGAACTTCCGCTACTGTCAAGGGTGGGTAACTTTGTCAATTTATTCACATATTGGTCTGAAGCAATAGGATTAAGCTTGAGTCCAGTCAGTGGCACCTTTAAGACCGACAAAGTTGGGTATAAATTTTCGTGTGCGTGTACACTTCATCAGATACCAGATATCCAATGAAGTGTGCATGCACATAAAAGCTTATGCCCAGAATTAAACTTTGTTGGTCTTAAAGGTGTCACAAGGTAGAATGAAAGAATCAAATGGTAGTAATCACCCCACAATAATATGGATTAACTTTGTTCATTGTAGATTTATGCAGAATCACAGAGTGCAACTTCGCAATGTCTTGAGAAATTTCTATAAAGCACATTTGTTTTGAAATTAAGTATAATTTGCTTTATCTGGTACTCTCAGTACAATGTCTACACTTTTTTTGTAAGACAAAGTGCCAAACAAGTTCAGAAAAAAGAGCTTGCGAGAAGCCAGCTCCCACCACCACCAACAACACCTTTCACTCCCTTCTCTCTGAGCCCACAAATGATTATGGGAACCTGTTGGGTGATAGTGAGATATTGAAAAAAA